TCTATCACGTCCCATTCCAGTCGCTGTCTCGTTGCTTCCGCTGGAATCGGAGCATCGTGTGACAGCCCTGACTTCCTGTTTGGCTCTGTCGATGTAGTGTCCAGCGCAGGCCCATCTTTCATGCCATCTCATATTCACCTGATAGAGCGCTTTTATGGTTCTTGCAGATAGGCCAGCACTCACTGCCGTAGAGCATTGTAGACCTTACCACCGTCCGTTACACCTTAACTCGAGCATTCTCGAGCACGCGCGTCGACAGCGATCGCCACTGGACCCCAGCCTGCTTGATTCGACGCTTCCCGCCTGGTCCCTGCCGTCAGTGCTAGTAGTTCGGCTCCCAGTACTGGAATGCCCTCGACCTCTTCGATGCTCTCGTCATGAGCAGTCCACGATGTTCGTGTATCACTCGGAGCTCAGGAACTTTTCTTCTTCACCTTCAGCCGGAGTCCGCATCTTGCAGTGGAGTTCTTTCCTGCTGTCAGCTATCAGGGCGATGTTGTCAGCGTTGAGGATGGTCGGTCCCTCCATGATTTTATCCCATACATCTAGATCTATGGAAATTGCTAACTTCCTCTACTGAAAGCGATATATGGTTGCAATCAGCTCGGCGCGCTGCGTCTGGAAGTACCTTCAAATCCAATTGCGCTTTGGAATACAATTAAAACTCCTGATGCGGATAACATTTGAGGTATTGCTCATGCTGCAAAGTCCGAATAGAAGATGATGAAGATGACAAAGGCTAGAAATGAAGAACAACGAATGTAGATGTAAATAAAATAAAATAAAAAATTCAAGGAAATGCAAACTAATTGAAAGCCCGTGTAAATTTTTGCGATTCGAGATTCCTGCTTCAAAGCCATAAAAATATGTTAAACTAACGAGTGGGACGCTTAGGCCGTTTTTATTTTCATGTTTTGTGGGAATGCGCGGCCTCCGAGGGATATTGCAGAAGCAGCACAGTTGCTCTTGAGTTCTGGCCCTCGTCATCATCTTCGGTTCTTACTTTATTGCATGCACCATAGGCACATGAGCAACATGAAGCAACTGCAAATCCAAAAAAACTAATTGACAAAATGGACCTTGCAATCTTCAGAACTCGATGTAATAATTGAAAGAAATTCGATGAAAAGGTAAAGCAACGTAAGGTAACGTAACTCGGAAACCTGACCATTCCCTCAAGTGTCAACGTAGTTTAGAAATCGGAATAGTCCGTAGTAGTCCTCAAGTCAAATGTTGATGCAGAATCTTTTTTAGCTGAGCTAAGTTCCCAGGCATACTGTGTTTCTTCGAAAACTTAACGAATTCGGATGAAGCCCGTAAAGCGAAAAACTTGGCTCTAATATTAGACTTAGCTCTAGAATAGGAGAGTTTAATTTTGTCACCACGAGTGTTGGACGGACAGAGGGTGAGAGTGTCACGCAAATTTACCACAGACTTCCCTGTAAGTATCTTGAACATGGTTATGAAGTCCTGTTTTCTCCTTCTACAGTATAAAGAATCAAGCGCAAGCATTTTATTTCTTACGACACCTCTTGGTATAGAACTGTAAATAAAACCCAGAGCCCGAGTCAAAACCTTTCTTGTGAAACTATTTTGCACAGATTCCAGTCTGGAAATGGTCTTCTTCATATAGGGAAAGAATACAACAGAACCATACTCTAGTAGCGGACGAATATAAGTCTTGTAAGCTCTTATAAGAACGTGTGGATCCTTAGTAAGCAAGCTCCTCAATAACTGGAACAGTCTCTTCTCCGCTCTATTAGCTATCGATACGCAGTGGGAATGGAACGCCAATTTGTGGTCGACGATGAAGCCTAAGTCCCTTACTTCCTTAACCTTTTTGAGTTGCGAGCCGTCAATATTGTAATCGAAGTTGATCCGGGAGGAACCTAAGTGCAAGACTGAGGTCTTATCATATGCTAAAGGGAGATCCCATGATTTAGACCAACAGGCCACGGCATCAATGGCGTCCTGTAGTAACTTACAATCGCTTTCAGCAGTTAGGGACTTATAGATTTTCAAATCATCGGCAAAAACCTTGCAGGGACTTATAGATTTTCAAATCATCGGCAAAAACCTTGCGTGTAACCCCAAATCCTTCCACTATCCTGGGCAGCGATATTGCAGCATGAGCATTACCTCAGATGTTATCTGCATGAGGAGTTGCGTTTTACTTGTACTTTTACTTTTCCAAAGCGCAATTACAGACTCGGCAAAGTGCCAAGAGCGCTGCGCGCGACACGCGCCGCGCGGACGGCTGTTAGTATAAACGGGATCGGGAGTCTGCGCCGCAAGTTGCATTTTAGGCGGAGCATGGAGGAATTAGCGTGTCCCACGGTCCTGGATCTCCATTCCTGCGCATGTTCGGACGGGGAAACCGCTACGCTTCGACAGCTGGGGGCTGATAGTCACGCACACCCAAACTATATGTGATCGTACTATGAAAAAGCTTATTGAAAGATGTGGACTCAAAACCTACTAAAAAACCCGAAGTCACTCAACAGATCTTTATCATCTACGCTGTGCAGGGCGCAATCCATATACACGTCCTCAAATGACCATCTTGTGTTCCGTTATCCGGGCGAGCAAAGTCCCGCAGGTGGCATAGCGTACAGGTAGGGTCATGCGACCACACGATAAATGAAGGTTCTAACAGCTTTTTGCGCCTGATGTTGAAACTAGAAACGCCCGACCACATGCACGCGAAGGCGACAAAGGGACGAGCTTGAGGGGAGATCTAGGAATTATCGGGGCTGGTCCTTCCTCCTTATTTGTGGAATCTCAGTCCTTGTGATTACCATGCTTTCAGGAGTCATCCAGCTCACTCAAGGAAAGATGTTCAGCAACCGTTAGGATTTCTAGCGTATGGTCGATGAATGGATCGCATCTCAGCGTGCTACCTTCTGGAATGAAGGGTGATGATGGACTCGCAACTCGGGGTTAGGAGAGAGGACGTAGGCGAGGGAAGCCACTATCTGGTGCTTAATCTTTTCTTTATATTTGTATGGTATATTATATGTTTATATGTCTATTGCGTTGACTGGTTTGGACTAGTGACTGGACCGTTTGGGAGATGACTGACTGAATTCTTCGAAACTTCCGGCATCCTCTAATATCTTATTACGCAAACATTAGGCAAAATACAAAAATTAAACTGGGCGATGGTCGCTATTTGACGCAGTAAACAGCAGACGAGTATGGGCTGAGATGCGGATTATTGCCCTCGCCTTACAAAAAGGCAGGGAAAGCTGTCAAAAATTAAATCTTGTTCAGTCTTTTTTCAATCAATAATGATCTCGAACAAAATTCTCAGAACAATTCAATTTATCAACATGGAGGGGTTCGTTAAGAGTGAACTGGCGGCGTACTTCGCAATGTGCCAACTGAACATCATCGACTCGTCAGGGAGGCTTTGTCGCTAAGGCAAAAGATTGTCTTAGCGCGTCAATCCATCCACTTCCTCGAACGCTGCCTGGAGCACCGTATAATACCGAAGTTCATCTTGAAGAAGCAGTTACGCGAACTATACGGCAGCCCACCCACCGGAAAGTACTGGATGTCGAGATGCGGCTTTTTCTTATGGCCATCCGAACAAAACCTGACGACATGTACGCTATGCTGAAGAAGTGCGCGTGGCGGTCGAAATAAATCATTGTGTACATGTTTGTGGTGAATTGGTGTGTGGGAGGAGCAGTGCCTGGGCTGGGGGGGGTGGGAGGGAGGAATAATGAGTGGGGTCAAAGCGGATTGGCGCGTTCGATCTATGCCTCAAAGCTGTGCTTACGCAGAGTCGCACGCGGGGCGATCGCCTGTGAAAAGAACGGCGGTTTGGGCGAGAAGCCAACAATGTGTATCGATCGCAGAGCCGCGAAAAACGCCCGGCGATCGAGCTAGCGTTTCGTCGAAGGCGAAAAACGTCGTGGTTTGGCGAAACGCCCGTCGATTCGTATCAAAACCCTTCCGCCCAACCGTCAGTCGATAGGTATCGAATGCTTTTCGCCGCGTTCCGGAGAAACGCTGGATCGCAGACTGTGAACAACGCCTTACAGAAGAAATTCGACGACCTTCTTGGTCGTAATCACATTGGGAGGTCCCGTCACACCGACCTAGATCAAGCAGCCAGCAGAGTAGAGCAATCGGTTCTAGGGTAACCGTTCTGGGAAAGTTCCACCTCTCCAACAATACGCGCTCCGTCTTGGAAATGGGTCCTAGTTTCTCACCATCACGATCCATTTCCACATTTCGTGATGCGTAAGGTGGTTCGTAATCTACATGTCTCCAGACAGCCTTACGTTCATTAAGGCCAAGTTGGTGGAGGGCCTTAGCTTTAATTCTCGAGACCTACGCTTAACATACCTTTCCCAAGCCTATCCCGAACAGCTAAGAGCCGGTATCGGCTCAGATATCTGTTTAGGATGTTTGCTGACGAAGTGTTCAAAGTGTTCAGTAGGTAGCGTGGAACTCACAGCCCGTACAATCTGTCAGGCGCTCAAGTGCGTGGTCTGAACGACCTTCGCGATTTGGTCAAGTCCCACACTATCAGACTTTCTGTTAATGACAAGTGAGGGGAATTCGTGATCATCCCTTGCCAACTCGACCGTGAACTAACGGAGCGGCATCTCGGATTCCTCTCTTTACCGACTATCCTTAGCAAAGGAGTTTCAGTCACAGTATTGCTAAACTGAATGTGTGTGAATGACCCCCGGTGGCAAAATCACGCGGACTGACCCTCTCCTACCAGGTCGTCTAAAATGGATTGCACCTCCTTGCCCGTGCTGTACCTTCCTTCGATAAAACGCATAAGTGGTGGGGCCTGACCCTCGGTTAGCCCTTCGTTTGGCTTAAAGTCAGACAGCTGCAGCTTGCGTGGGGGGACTACTGAGCAGGATTGCCTGCGTCTCCTCAACCACAATGACTCAGCTGCTTCATTATATCCCGTCGCACCTTCCGAACACCCAGATGTTCCTGAACCATCTTCAGCAGATTGGCTTGGACAGTACCTGCGTCATGCAGTCACTTGACGCGGAAGCCCTGTATACCAACGTCACCAATTCATCTGCTATGGAACCCTTTCCGAGCTTCATAGGCAACATCGTGATGTGAATGATATGGGTGGGCTTTCCATTGGCCAAATAATGGTACTGTTGAAAAAATGCCTCAGCTCCATTGCTAAGCCTCTAGTCTGCGCGTACTACATTCCTGACCATCTTCAGGTGGTCAGGAATGTACTACGCGCAGACTAGAGGCTTAGCAATGGGACAATGGCTGGCAGCTAAACTGGCCACTACTTTTATGGGCCACGATAGAAACGCCGGTATCGGAACGACTCTCTTCCTTTATTGTCGATACATCGACGATTGCTTCATAATCTGCTCCTCCCAATGTGAAATCGACAAATGTTTTGCACTGATGAACGAGCAGTCCGAACACATCAAGATGACGCGCGAGAAGCCGTGCGACAATTGGCTTCCGTTCCTTAACGTCCAGGTCAGGTCTGATAAGGGCGCCTACCTCATACAGTAGTACAGGAAGCCCACCACAAGAATATCGTTGTCCATTTTTCGATCAGCTCACCCACTCTAAACTAAGCCCGAGGCACTTGCTAGGAATATGTTCCGGACTGCGGCAACTTTTGTAGGAGGGGGATGGAGAGGAATGAGTCACTGGGAATGACGCACGAAATCGCTCGACTTGATGGCTGATCGTCCCTCACCTATGCGTCGAATCAGTACTCGCACAACGAGGGGTGATCCTCCTACGGGAAAACTCCCTTCGCGGCACCCTCTACCTCCAATGAAGTAAGTACTTCCATAAGGAAGCGTCTGAGGAGATCGGGTCTAGAAAACACTGTTAGCGTCGTGGAGATTCCTCCACACAACTCGAAACGCCGGTTGATTTGAAATCGTCTTTACGATCGCAAATGTGGAACTCCGAACTGCGTAGTCTGCCCTGACAGCAGGGAGGAAGACTGCGCGTCACGGGTGTGGTCTACAAGATCACCTCCCAATTAGAAACAAAGAAAAACAAACATTGGGGAAATGCATACACTCCACAGCACAGATGATCCGTTTCGCCCGGTGTCGTAGACGAATCATCGAAGTCTTACCAACCCCCCAGGCTCGTCAGTACGACAGGGTTGAAGACATGGACATAGACTACACAGGGGAAGGAGCAAGAAATAGGACAAAAAGAGAAAACATGTAGAAAAAGCTCACGTGTAAAATTCATGCAATAAAAATGAGAAGGAATTGTACAGTAAAAATGAGAGAATGTTATAAAGTTCTGATACTAAATACGTAGTAAGCAGGAGAAATATTGCGAATGAACGTAGATGGGCTAAACCAACTAAGGGAATGTTGAGTAAAAGACACCGTCGAGCTGACTACAACGGTGAATAAAAATTGTAGCGATAAAATGAGAGTTAGTGTTGAACATCGTTGCTAATGAGAATACTTTTAACCAGCCTACTTATCTTTTTATAGTTATTTGCAATAGAGTATTTGTAACTTATAAATTTATTTTTGTAAATACATTTAACAATGCTAGTAATAATAAAACCTTCTTCGTAGCCATTTTTTGACAGAGTGGTGACCATATCCGTTATTTTGCTTACGAATACATCGAAGAACGTACAAGTGTTTGCTAACCTCAACGTTTCCGTATATATAACAGAGGCTTTGTTGATAAGGGAAATGTTTGTGTCACTATATGGAAATCTGATTACATTGAAGCTAAAATCGTCCGTTTTATTATACAACTTAGTACTAACTTTACCATTAGAAATATTGATTGTCAAATCTAAATAATTGCTGGAAATTCACTATTATGAGTTTTTTTCAATTCAAGGGTATTTCGATAAACTTGATAAAGTTGTTCATCCACGTCACCGTCAGTTTGGTTATGTACAACAAGCAAATCGTCCATATATCTATATGGAATGAACAGCTTACTGTTATCAAACTTTTTGGATTTAGCATAGTAATACTCCATGACAGAGAGCGTTAGATCTGCCAAAAGTGGACTGAAATTACCACCTTGTGGGACACCTTTTGTCTGTTTGAACGTATTATTAGCAAAAAGACAAAAACTGTTACGTAAAAGATAGTCAATAAGGTATACTAAATCGCTGGATTTGTAATATCTGTAGTTGTTCTTGATTTCTTTCCCATCTGTATAGAAAACATGGTAACCATTAGTGGCAATAAAAGATCTGTTGGCATTTTTGAAGCAAATGTTAAGCAATTCTTGCATTTTCTTTATAATGAGATCATAATAACATCTGTTGGCGATGAGTACATAGGTGAAACAGCCAGGCGACCTCACATGCGGGTCAAAGAACACCTTAACGGGGTGAGGGGTGTCCACTGCGCTGGGTTGCCACAGGGTAAATGCCCATGGCGGGGTCGACTTCGGGGTCACGGTAGAGGTCCTGGAGCAAGAAATTCAAACTGCCGCACGCAAAACCCTCGAGGCATTTTGGGCAGGTCAGGGAATCCAAAAATGAACCAGAGGGGATAATGGCTGTCAATTACGCGGGGCTCAACCCCGTATATAAGGCTAGCGTTCCCCACGGAACCCTGAATGCGATCGGTTTGAAAGGTCCCTGGACTGTGTACTCGTAGATGACCGTATGATCTGGCAGGTACGGTAATTTCCTTTCCTGATTGGTTACGTGATGGCTAGGATGGGGTCGAAGGTCTCTATGAGGGAGAGAGAGGCATTTGGTCGAATGGTTCATAAATTGATTTCCACCCTTTCAGGCTCCGAAGAACGTGACCTCACCGAAACGTCAGCCACATAATAAAGATTCTTGAAAACCTTGAGTGCACTTCAATAAGAAGAAACAATCGTCTTTCTTTAGCGAATTTTGTATTGATCGCGATCACATTTTACCACATCCTACTTTTCACTTTTCTGAGGCGAAGCGTATCCACTATTTTGCGCTGACTCACGATCCTCTAAGGTAGTAAGTTATGGGTCATGTCGAGGTGTGATACTACAGGCTTTCACGAAGGAACTATTTGCTACGTTCGCTCGCTCGCACTCGAAATCGTGTTAAAATCCGACACTCAGAATATTTCCATAGGAAAAATTCCTATTTGGCTCAAATGCTTCCTAAGAAATTCAAGTAGTGTTAGAAGAATATATAACAAAGGGTGCAAATCTACAGTGCATACGACTTGAATCTTTTTCCAGTCTTCGAGGCTCACTGAAGACTTCGGTGAGAGTCTGAAAACCCTCTCATATAAGTCTGCCGCACAAGGTGAAATACAGGGCAAACAACTTCATACAGCACTCGCCATAATTCTTAAAAAAATGCCGCGAAAAACGCCAACCACTTTTTTTGTAGCGTGTTCCTGCTAACTTCTCTACTCTTCTTCTTCTCCCTAGCGTTAGTCCCGCGCCGTCGCAGGGTCCGCTGTTCTTATTACGTCGCCACTTGTTCCGATCCACTGCATCTTCTGCTGTGGCATACACTTCATTGAGGTCCTTCTTGATGACGTCCCTCCATCTTTTCTTTGGGGGCTCCTCGTGGTCGCTTGCCCTCTGCTTCAAATTCCAATGCCTTCCTTATTGGGTGGTCCTCAGGCCTTCTCAGCACGTGCCCATAGCTCGCAGTCCTCAACTCGTGCCTTCAGCTGGATCGGAGCCGTCTGTGTGACCGCCCTGACGTCCTCGTTTCTGACTCTGTCGAGTCGTGTCCAGCCGCAGGCCCATCTCAGCATCCTCATTTCAGCTGAGTGGAGCTGCCTTTCATGGTTCTGTTATTTCTTGCAGATAGGCCAGCATCACGCCGTAGAGCATTGTAGAGCTTACCACCGTCCGGTACACCTTGAACTCGAGCGTTCTCGAGCACCGCCGGTCGCACAGGATGGACTCCCTAAATTTCATCCAGGCTGCGCTGATTCGGGCCTTCACTGAATGATCCACGCTGCCGTCAGCTGCTAGGTCGCTCCCCAGGTACTGGAAGCCCTCGACCTTTCGATGCTCTCGCCATGGCAGTCTACAATAGGGTCGTTACACACTTCGGAGCTCAGGAACTTGGTCTTCTTCCCTTCAGCCGGAGTCAATTCTCAGCGACCACATCCTGCCATCGCTGCATCTTGCAATGGAGTTCTTTCCTGCTGTCCGCTATCAGGGCGATGTCGTCAGCGTAGAGGATGGTCGGTCCCTCCATGAGTTCTTTCGCCATGACATCTAGAGTCAGGAAATTTGCTAACTTCCTCTAGCTGAAAGCGATATATGGTTTGCAATCAGCTCGGCGCGCTGCGTCTAAAAGTACCTTCAAATCCAATTGCGCTTTGGAATACAATTAAAACTCCTGATGCGGATAACATTTGAGGTATTGCTCATGCTGCAAAGTCCGAATCGAAGATGGTGAAAATGACAAAGGCTAGAAATGAAGAATAACGAATGTAGATGTAAATAAAAAATAATAATAAAAAATTCAAGGAAAAGCAAACTAATTGAAAGCCCGTGTGAATTTTTGCGATTTGAGATTCCTGCTTCAGAGCCATAAAAATATGTTAAACTGACGACTGGGACGCCCAGGCCTTTTTTACTTTCATGTTTTGTGGGAATGCGCGGCCTCCAAGGGAGATTGCAGAAGCAGCACAGTTGCTCTTGAGTTCTGGCCCTCGTCTTCATCTTTCGGATATTACTATTCATTGCATGCACCATAGGCACA